TATGCACAATTATGACATGTCGAATAAAAATAAAGGGATAGATATGTAAATAAATAAAGGTAAGGAAACATACCCAAAAAAAGAAAAGTACAGCTAGGTGTTAGATGCAGGCAGTCTGCAGAGACTGCTCCAAAGATCACGCTCTTGGCCTTTTTGTTCTGTTGCTTATCAATGGCACACCAATCAATGAGAATTTCTCACTTCCCTGATTCTAAGAAGCTCATTCCTCTCATTAAAAAGAGACCTTGAGAGGAATGATCTTCTTAGAATCAGGGTGCCTGTAATCCCAGTTACTTGGGAGGCTGAGGTAGGAGAATCACTTGAACTCAGGAGGCGGAGGTTGCAATGAGCTGAGATCATGCCACTGCAGTTCAGCCTGGGCAACAAGAGTGAAACTCCATGTCAGGGAAAAAAAAAAAAAGAGAGAGAGGAGAGAGAGATCTTGATTTCCATATTCTGAGGCCCACTCCTTGCCTATTTATGGTGCAGGGGGGAAAAATATTTTCACATCCGGGCTTTGAGAAAGCTCTCAGTGGTTCTCAAGTTTTGCCTCAGCTCACAAAGCCATCACACCTTCAGACCAGGTCATGGAAGGAAAAAACCTAGAATGTGTTATGTGAGCAAGACCACTCTTTCGACCTGAATAGATTTTTGTCATATCAACCACATCACTGGGGTTCAAGAAAAGCCCACATCATCACATAGATTTTTCCAGTTAGGACCTAGAAGGTATGAAATAACGTTAACTTAAAAAAAAAAGTTTTAAACAGTGCCGCTGGACTATAATGAAGAAAGACTAGGATAGCCCTGTGTGAAATCCCTGCACTCCTTCCCACCCTATTCTTGTTTCATTCTCCCTGGCCACTCCCATCCCAAACTTCCCTTCTTCCTGAGGACTCCTCATGCAGCCCTGACTTTAATGCTGTCTACTTCTGTTGCTCAAGAAGGTTTACTTGTTCTAAAAGTATCCCATGACCCCTTTTCCTAATTTAAATTTTCCTCTTCATCTACTCCATTCTCCCACCAGCCTGGAATTAGAAAAAGGAGGCTCCTCTATGAAGTGCTACTTCCTTTCACTAGACCTTAGACTAGATGACCTCCAAATTTCAACTAGAAGTTTATTATTAAACCAACCTATACTCAATAGTGAATCACAATCAACTTGATCTAAAAAATCTCCACACCACCAGAGAGGTGCCTGCTTGCTCCATTCCCAGTGGGGTTGGGGTTGGTTTCTTTGAGTGGTAAAATGCTTATATTGCAGTACTAAGACTCTTGTTCCTTGGCATACGGGTGGTCTGGGGAGAAGAAAACTCAAGCTCCCTTTGTGGAAACTTTGTCACCTGCTTATGGGTGGAAATCAAGAAAAGGGGACAAGAAAATGAAGAGGAAGCCACTCTAAGACCATGCTAAAAGCCCTCAGATGCTTAACTGAGGAAGGCCTGGAATGTGGATGTTGTCTGTGGCCACAAACCTCCTTCCCTGGAGGTGGACACAAGCAAAAGAAGTCAGCCAACCTTCATCTCCTTTCCTCATCAACTTCCTTGTTGGAATTGAAGATTTAGGCTGCTCAGCTCCAAAAGAATAATAATCATAATAATTGCCCTCTCCTTAGGCTATAACAACCCTCTCATTCTTCTATCTCTTCTAAATCTGACCTGTTTCCCTTAGAAAATAAAAATAATGAACCTCTAGAGTTCACTTGGCTCAATAGTGGGCACTATTCATCATTGATAAACATAAGTAATAGCAATGTTAACAATATGCTTGTATGGAAGAAAAGCCATACTATGCAGTAAATTGAGACAAAAGCATCATTGCTACCACCTCTAACCCCTAACCTGCTCCCAGAAACACCAGTCTCCACAGAGGCCTCTATTCTTCCACCTACAGTGGCTCTGATTCAAGCAACTGCATTCAAGGTAAGTGAAACCACATCTTATTCAATTTCAATCTGTCTTATGTTTAATTAATTTTTAAAGAATATACAATCGTTTTCTTTACAAATATAAGGTAATTTAACTATAGAATTGACTCAAAGGTTTTCAGGAGCTCACCTGGCACCTAAACACTCATAGCACTATCTCATCACCAAACATGTTTTAACAATGTACCAACTTTTATATTCAATCCATTTGTATTTAGAATATAGCCCTTGCTTGTATTTCAGGGAAGAAGCTTTGTCCTGGGAGTACCAAACGGGCACAAGCCAGGGGCCAGGAAGACAGAGCATGCAAGAACACAGCAAAATGTGCCAGAACCAAAGTCAATAGGCTGCTCTCTAGGACATCAGGAACTTGGGGTTTCCAAACTAACTTATTCTTAATAAAAGGCAGTTTATCAGTTGGAATCTTCTTAGAAAACTAGAAAAAATATAAACATACAGTAGGTAAATATACCTGTAACAAGCCAATACTTTAAGCATCACTCTGCAGAAAAATGGAGCATACCTAGTCACATTTAAGGCCCCAGCTTCTACAAACAAAAATGTAGCCAATTAATGTATCTCAAAGGGCAGATTTTTTCTGACTACTGAAGTCAGGAAAATTCCCCCCCAGAATGGCTCTGATTGGCAGATATTTTCTGAGAGAGGACAGCTGAGTTAATGGAGGCCTGTGGTCATTTTATGTCAATGGCTGGAATAGGTTGTTTCCTCTTCTCATTCTTGCTTTTATTTTTTATTTTTGCCAGTCCCTATGGCTACATCGCACCTGCTACCCCCCAAATACATGCTAATGGCAGTATCTTAAAGGGACAGGAATCACCAGAAAAGAAATGCATATAGTTGGATTTCTTATGCAACTCAATGATTGCATATGCCTGTAGTAATTTTTTTCAACAGAACTTGTCAGGTTAAAATTATAAATGACTTCAAGCTGCTGGTATCCATTTCATTTGGCTATTAGGGTGGTCAAGATATCTAACTTAGGAAAGATAAAATGACAACATGTCCCAGGAATCAACAGGTCTTTATTTTGCCTTGATTTTACTGAATAAAATTCTCCTATAACTTGATGCTTGGGGCCAGAGTCTCTTCTGTTTATTCTATTCTTTAAGATCAATTATTAGAGAGAACTCAAACCAAAAAAAAGGGATGAAACAGTGTTACCTAGGTACAAATTTAAGCTATAAACTCTGAAGTAGAACATGCTTACTGTGGTTAAAAGATATAAACCACATATAAATTTAGCAACAACTCATCATATTAGATATCGTGACCTTTGGCATTGGCATTTTTCAGTATCGTTTCAGATAGCACTGGTAAAGATGGCAAAAGTAACCTAATCCCTTAATGCCCATGTCACAAACAGAAGTGCGCTTCTGAAATAGCCTCAGCAGAAGCCACATCTTTTCACACCTGCTTTTAAGGAACCAAGGCAATCTTTTAAAAGAAATAGTACATTGAGCATGATCAGTGGATGAGGAAGAGTTTCAATACCAAGTCAGTGAATTAATAACACCATTGTATGTATCAAAACTCCACTATGCACCCAATAAATATGTATAATGACTATGTGTCAATTAAAAAAATAAAAACTGCAACATACATGCATTGAGAGTGATGTCCTCACAGTTCAGAATGCAAAAGACAGACTAATACTAATCAAAAGACTATTACTAATCAAAAGACTATTCAATATCATCCATCTTTAGCAGGAATCACATAAAAATTGGCTTGTTGGGTTTTTTAATGATAAGCCAGCAAACTAATTCTTCTTAATATGTTTTTATTTATTTATTTTATTGATTGATTGAGACAGGGTCTCACGTTGTCACCCAGGCTTAAGTACAGCGGCATGATCTCAGCTCACTACAGCCTCCACCTTCCAGGCTCAAGCAATCCTCCCACCTCAGCTTCCGGAGTAGCTGGGACTTGGGACTACAGGTGTACACCATCATGCCCGGCTAATTTTTGTATTTTTTTGTAGAGACAGGGTTTCACCATATTGTTCAGGCTGGTCTCAAACTTCTGGGCTCAAGGGATCTGCCTGCCCTGGCCTCCCAAAGTGCTGGGATTTCAGGTTTGCGCCAGTGAACCTGGCCACAACATGTGTTTTTAAAGTGATCCTCATTCAGGATATGGGATTGCAAGCAATGCGCCTGGCTCTGCCACCTTGTAGCACAAAGAAACAGAAACAAGAAGTATAAGACAAACCATGGCTTAAAGGCAGCCACAAAAATGTATAAAATGAATCACTCGGTTACAAATTGTTTACCAAATTCCTTCACCTTCATCTTTGAGAAAGAAATGCACTACACAGCTAGTATCACAAAATGTCCTAATGACATAGGAGAGGGGGAACAAGAGACTGATACTAACTACTAAGGTGGGTGCCAGCATTTCAAGCCTCAAAAAAGAACAAAGCCATTCAGCAAAATTATTTCCTGGCATCAATTTGAACTATGGGAAGTCACAGTTGTAAGGCAAAGGAAAAAAAAAAAAAAAAGAAAGAAAAGAAACTGAACACTTTATAATATTTGGAAACTTCTTACCAACCCTTATTTTCATGGCTTTCCTCCATTAAAATTTTTACCTAATACAAAGTAATACTTCATACATAACTAAACCTTGAAGAAATAAAACCAGGATTCAGTTGGGCCTTTTCTTTTCCATTTCCTTTCTCAGCTGCCTGCCTTCTAATAAGACAAAAACTTTTGGCAGGAACATAGAAGGTATCTAGACATTTCAATGAATTAGACAAGGAAGTCTAAATGAAGAAACCCTGGCACTCATAAATGAAGCAGTCTTTTAAAAACCAAAGAGCCAAAACAGAGGCTAAATAATGCTTCCTGAAAAAGAAATTCACTTTTTAAAAAAGGAGATACACACAGTTCTCCAGGATCATTAAGGCACCGTTCTAAATTAGTATCTTTCAGATCAAACTGAGAAACTTCACAAGTATTTTCTAAACAAAACCGTGAGTGCACACACTCCCCATAGACAGTTCTTTAGCAGATTTAAGTTGCATACTGTAATCAACACAAGTACAGTTACTTACTTGTTTCCTTCTGTAATGAGCAAACTGAGAAAGTCCTAAAACAGTCGCAAGAGCACCTCCTCCAACAAGAATGGTCCCTTTCACTGCCTTTTGAAATGCCATTTTTTAGCCTACAAAGAAAAAAAAAAAACAAAAAGAAGTTAATTGGGATAGTTATCGCATAACCATCCCAATAAGAAAAAGACACTGTGTAGATTATGAAACCATGTTAAACTAGAAAAGAAAACACAAAATAAGGAAACTACTAACAAACCAATGTGCATACTGCAACTCAAAAGAAATAGCCAAAAAATTCTAGACAAGGGAACTGATTACATAAAAGTTACTTTCTGATCCAATAGGAATTAAAGAAAGAAAAGCAAATTAAGAGACAACTGAGGATATTTAAACAGTATAAAGTCAAGAGAACTGTGAAAAGAAGTGTCACTGGGTATCTGACAAAACTGCATGCTATACTTGTAAATTTGTTCAACACCTAATCCTCTCCTCAAGGAGAACCAGCAGAAAGAAGTCTTGGGTCACTCAACAGGACAATAAACATCAGCCTGCTTCAGGTTATTTGGCAAGTGTTTAATTCAAATTGTGGTACAACTCCCTTCCCAAGTTTCTCCCTTTCTAATGAAGTTTTCACTACAGCCAAAAGCCAGCACAGATATATTTCTATCATTGAAAGAGTCAGCTGGGCATGGTGGCTCACGCTCATAATCCTAGCCCTTTAGGAGGCCGTGGGGGTGGGCGCCTATAATCCCAGCTACTCAGGAGGCTGAGGCAGGAGAATGGTCTGAACCCAAGAGGCAGAGGTTGCAGTGAGCCGAGATCACGCCACTGCACTCCAGCCTGGTGACAGAGCTAGACTCTGTCTCCAAAAAAAAAAAAAAGGAAAAAAAAGAGTAGACTTTATAGATAAGAAGTCAGAGGTATTAACGCCTTAATGCTTTCACAAACTGACCAATTTAACCTGCTGTAATTCCTTTCATTGGGGGAACTTAACAACAAAAAGAAAAGTTTTCTTCTAGCCAGAGTTGCATGACACCAACATTTTAAGAGAAAACCCTCCAGATCAAGCACTCACTGTATATTTGTGCTCACTGTATTTATATTTTTTTCTTTCTCTCATTTTGTAGAGACAGTGTCTGGCTCTGTCACCCAGGCCAGAGTGCAGTGGTTCAATCATAGCTAACTGTAAAATCAAACTCCTAGGCCAGTGATTCTCCCAAGTAGCTCATACTACCAAGTGCATGCCACCATGCATGGCTGATTTTTCCTTCTTTCTCTCCTTTCTTTCCTTTTCTTTCTTTCTTTCTTTCTCTTTCTCTCTCTCTTTCTTTTTCTTTTTTTTTCTGTAGAGACAAAGTCTTGTTATGTTGCCCAAGCTAGCCTCAAGCAATCTCCTACCTTGACTTCCCAAAGTGCTAGGATTACAAACATGAGCCACCCCACACTGGGCTCCACTAAATATTTCTCAAGTTCTGCGCTGTCTTAGCTCTTAACTTTCTTTCCTCTCACTAGTTTTCCACCACTGGACTGATAATGGAATTTTCTAAAGTTTTGTTGAGGACTTAAAAATTATTCTTTAACTTTTTCAGAAACTAAAAAGATTGCACAAAAATGAAAATTCCACCAAAAATTCTTTTGTCCGCTTTTACTGTTAAACATAAAAAGATAACCGTGTGTGATCAACTAAAAAAATTTCTAGAGTTGAGTAATTTGACCTGCCTAAGACTTTCCATTCACAAAAGCAGGGAAACAGGGAAGCCACTACCCTATTTCCTTGTAGGGGTGGAGCACTGGCCTGTCTGGACAACACACCTTACATTCCACTGATACCTCCCAACTCAAGAAGATAATTTATTATGAAGGTAGTTTTAACTTAGGATACTAAAAAAAGTATCTCAACAAAATTATGATACAGTTAAATATTTGGGTCCACATTGAATAAACTGTATCTATTATCATACTATCCTAAATAAAGAATTGCAATATAGTTGATAACTATGATTCTATAGAAAACTCATTTTAGGATACTATAAGTTATATACTGATATGTGGTGACATTTTTAAAATTTTTTTCTTCTGATCTCATTCTTCCTGACAAACTCCTAAATTCTAAAATTTGTCTTCTTAATTAAGATTCTTCCCAGGATTAGAGCCCAGGAGTTTGAGCTTGCAGTGAACTGCAATTGTGCCACTGCACTCCAGACTTGGGAGACAGAACTAGATCCTATCTCTAAAAAAAACCTGTAAAGATTCTTACCAGGAAAATATTCACTAGGTATTTGTATACTCTGCTGCTGGAGGTCTCTTCTTTACTGTCCCTTTGCTATATCAACCATCTTCTCTTTCCCAAATTATGCAGGACAGTTGGTGTATGCTGGTGAGAGGCCACCATTTATCATTCAGTCAACCCTAGGCAAAACCTTACATCCTAGGTTGCTGGGATAGTAAAAACCCTAACTTAGCAGGTACCCAGTTGTCATAGCTCACTATCACCAATCAAGGTACTGCTGTAAATGTTCACATGGGTGCCTATCACACAACAATGGAAGCCCTAGCAGCCAGACAGCATGCTATCTCAAGGTTAACTGGGTTCCTCTGACAACTGGAGACATAGAATAAAGTCCTAGTTCTATTTACTATTTACCTTAAACAATGCACATGCCTGACTCATAGCAGCATGGTGGTCCCTAGGATATGAGTGTTGTGACTGATTGACTTATCACTGCTTCTGTCTTGTTGATAATGTCACTGCTGACCTCACAAAGGATACCACACATCAACATGGCCAACTGAGGGATGTTATATATAACACAGTCAATGAAAATGTTTCATTCTCAGAGGTGTTCATTCAGCCAGTTAAGTTTGAAGCTAGTATTTCCAAATGAGTGGGTCCCTATGTTCCCTGCCTACCTGCTAGTATTGTTTTAATTTGATTTGTCAGAGACAAAAACTTGCAAAGGAGGATATTTTCATGCATTTTCCCAATGAGCCACTAATACTATCAAAAAACTACATTCTCATATCATCTTGCAGAGTTAGCAATAATATCAACTATAATCAATAAAGAGTTTTCCTTTTTCAATAATTTCAAAAAGTAATGTATGCTTGGGGGCTCATTATTTCTAATGTGATCAAATACTTCTGTATGGTCATTTGGCTAACTCAAAAACAAAGGCAAGAATCAGTCAGTTTCACTTGACTTTCCTAAGATAATCATTATGATTGTTGTTATTATTATAAATGTTACAATAACAATCACTGCCATTTGTTATTTACTAGGTAACAGGTACTGCGCTTTTAATTCTTTATACACATCAGCTCATTTCACCCTCACAACATCTAATTTCATAAAAGGGGCAGTGGTAGTTCAGAGGAAATCGGGGATTTCCCCAAAGTCACTGCCTAGTAAGTGAGAAAACAAGACTGAGTTTATGTTCTTGATCCCTGGGTGGTTCTGCCCTGCCTTTGGTCTCAAAAGGCAACTTCTCCCCAAAAGCTATACCATATTTTGTTGTCACTCCCAAAAGAAGGACCTATTCTCAAACAATCACCCAAATGTTCAGTCCCTTGGCATTTGGGTTAATCTCCAAGGCAATGAAGAAGTCTCTAGAAAAGTATCTACTAGTAATCTTCTGCCAAGTAATGTAAGAACTTTGTTGTAGGGCCGGGCACATTGGCTCATGTCTGTAATCCCAGCACTTTGGGAGGCCGAGGTGGGTGGATCATTTGAGGTCAGGAGTTCAAGACCAGTCTGGCCAACATGCTGAAACCTTGCCTCTACTAAAAATACAAAAATTAGCCAGGCGGTTGAGGCATGCGCCTGTAATCCTAGCTACTCGGGAGCCTGAAGCAAGGGAATTCCTTGAGCCCGGGAGGCGGAGACTGCAGTGAGCCAAGACTGCACCACTGCACTCCAGTCTGGGCAACAGAGTAAGACCCTGTCTCAAAAAATAAAAAATTTAAAAAAGAACTTTAATGCTGAAAGAAGAAATTTAGAATGATATAAACCATATGCTATGGACAACATGTACCCATTTACCATTGTAAGGAGAAACGTTTTCACAATGATTACAAACAAAACAAAAAAAGATTATTTCCTTCCAAGTAACAGTTTTACCAGAAAACTAGCAAAGAAGGGGAACAAAAATATACACAAATCTTTACTAACTTCTGCAATAAATGTTCAAGGAAACCAGAGGGGAAAAAATATTAAAAAATAGAATTAGCTTATTTATCATAGCTTCAAATCCATGTTTTATAGCCTTTTAATTAAATCACATATATGCTGACTCAGGACTGGCTGCTGCATTGACACAGACCAGAGCTAGTGCTAATTCTTGCAAGGAGAACACCATTTGTTTAAGCAAAACCTAAACAAATGGTGCTCAACTAAATATATCTGTGAGATTATCAACTAACTGCCCACAAGGAATTAATAATCTATTTGTAGGATTAAATATCAAAGTGTGTCTTGTAACTCTGAACTCTGTCTTATAACTAGTTGTGCTATATTGAGTGTTATAAACAGCCTGATGGAAAAAAAAAAAAAAAGCAAGGTGTTGTATCATTTTAATGTTGCAAGAAACTGACTCTGACTAAAAGAATTAAAGAAGGCTTCAGTGAAGACAGGATTTTGGAGAAGGGTATTGAAGGGGAAAAAAAAGAATTTGGAGGGGAGTGAGTAGGGAACGTTATAGAGAAAGACAACTGGAGGAGAAAGGGGAGCATCATGGTACGTTCTAGGCATACAAGTAGTTATCTCGTTTGGCTGGAGATGATGTGCAGCTAGAAATGGGGTTTAAAAAAAAGTCCAAGGGGCAAGAGAGAGGAAGACTGCGTACACATGAAGTAAGATATTTCTAGGATATCCTGTTGGCAATGGGGAGTAGAGGCTGTAGAGTAAGGAAGTAAGATGTTTTGTCTAATGCTCTGTAAAGACTACTCAAGTAGATTTTTGTGTTGAAGCTTAAGAAGACAGAGAGACCAATTAGAGGGCAATGAAATAGATCCCGTGTGAGAGGAGAGCCTGGTTTAAGGCAACATTAAAGAGTGCAAATCTAGAGGCGGATGTTTTGCAAAACTCTCTAAGGACTGCACTCAATTAGAGAGCATG